ATTGTTAAGAAGTGCACCATAGTGGTAGAGGACGTTGATAACAGGAGAGGCAAAGAATGCATCATGGCATAACATATGTGGAAAATGTATCTGCCTCTCAGTTTTGCTGTAAACCTAAAACTGCTCTAAAAATAAAATCTTGCAAAAAATTATACGTTCATTATTTCTCTTTTGGAAGCCCTCCTAGGGAGAATATGCTACCAAATCTACTCAACTTTTGAAAGACATAAATTATTCATAAAAATATTTCATTTCTCTCCAGTTTCCTCTGTGGTCTATTTATGATGGTATCTTTCTAATTTTGAAAGGCTTTTCCAGCCATCCTTAGCTTCTGATAGAGGGGTCAATTCTCTAGTTATCCAGTCAATGCATAAACTCTTCACTTAGCACATCTATAATGTTACATACATGCTAACCGATAGAATGGCCCTTTTCTCCACTACACTACACTATACACTCCACCAGGATTGCAGCCAGCCAGGTCTGCCCTGTTTTACTGCTTTCTCAACTAGCACTGAGCACAGTGCCTGGCATATGATAGAGGAGATGCTCAGTAAATATTTGGTGAACTAACATATGAAAAAAAAAATTGATGAGCCTAGGGGACATTATGCTAAGTGAAATAAAGCAGGCAGAGAAAAAAATAAAAACTGCATGATATCACTTACAGGCAGAATAAAAATGGAAGTCAAATTCATAGAGTTGAAAAGTGGTTGCTAAGGGGCTGTGGAGTGGAGGAAATAGGGAGAGGCTGGTAAAAGCGAACAGACATTTGGTTATAAGTTGAATAAGGTCTGAGGAGCTAATGTATAACATAGTATCAGTAGTTGATAATATTGCATTATGTAATTGAAATGAGCTAAGAAAGTAGAATTTTAATGTTATTTCCCCAAAGAGAAAAGGTAAATATATGAGGTGATGAATATGTTAATTAACTTTATGCGGAAGGGGAACCCTCTATCACCATATCAAATCGTCACATTGTACACTCTCAATAATCTTACACATTTATTTGTATATAGCAATAAGGCTAAGAAAAGTGAGGCTAATAATGTAATATAATTAAAACTCCATGAACACCTACTTAGTGTTTTCTAAGTAATATTGCCCAACCTTATGTCATTAAATGTATTCATTTCAAATGCTATAACCGTATAAAAGCACCTAAAGATTAAGAGCTTGAGATTATCAGTTTTGGACACTGTTTCATTTAGCAAACAGTTATTTACTAAATGTCTAGTATATTCCTAGCACTGAACTAGTCACAGTGCATACAAAGGTAAGCCAATGAGAAGTGATTTCTTCTCTCTTAATACCAGGTTACTAGCCTGCAATTTATAGGACTGGAGGGTCATTATGACTTCATGTCCTTGAAAGGTATTTCATGTCCAGGCAATTCCTGACCATTTCCTGGTTTACTCCAAGTCTTAATAAAGGAATGCAGTGGCTTATTCAACCAATTGCTTTTTTGGCTAATTCATGATTTTAGCTTAAGAGAGGTCATCTTTCCCCATCCCTCACTTCCTGAGAAGTTTCTTTTTTTCTGCCTCTTCTCTCTTCTGCTCATACAAAGGAAAACTTGTTTTCCTGCGTGACTTCTTTATAGGCTTTATCATCTCCCATATCTAACTTGGAGGAGAGGAGGGAAACTGGCTCTTGGTATCTATGTCTTCCAGTTGCTATCCAAAATATGAAGTGTATCACCCATCCATTTTTATCACACACGTCTAATCAACCTTGGTCTTGTGTTCTCCTTTAGGATTCACTTTCACCTTCCTAGATGTCTTATCACTTGGCTTACATTTTTTTCTTCTAACTGCCTGTTGCTTTTCTTTGAAATTTAACTGCATTTCCTATTATGAGAAAGGAAGTATAGTGGTGGAAAGCACGGATTCTGGAATCACACCACTTCCTAACTGTGGTTAGGGCAATTTAACATACCTGCTCCTTAGTCCTCTTATTTGCAAACTGAAAGTGACAGTAATATCTACATTATAAGGATTTATATGAGTTAAGATCCATAAAACACTTAAAAACTCACTGGCACATAGAAAGCACTCTAAAATGCTATTATTATGGTTAATTGCCTTTAGTAACATTAATAACCATATTGTTGACTATTTACTTCAACTTCAGAACATATATCCACACAAAATTCTACCTTGACTAGCTGATCACACATCCCTACTTTAATATTTCAGATCTGATTTTCTGTCTAATCATAAAATTCTTTCTACTCATTTTTTCACTCTTGAAAATTCCCAGAACCTTCTCTCTGTTCCCTGGCCTTAACTCAATATTCTCACCCAATTTATCCAAGCACTAGTAATCTAACTTTCCAATCTTTAACAATTTCCTAATATGAATCTTCAAGTCTTAGTCAGTCTAATCTTAATCTCTTCACTTTTCTTTGAACATAAATGTTTAAAAGCTCTCCTCAATGCCCAGAGATAAAAAATCTTACTTTTTCTTTAATAACCAAATAAAGTTTTATCTTCCATGAGGTCTTCTCCCATCATTCTAGAACATACACATTCCATCTTACAACCAACCACCTTCCTCCTACCCAAGCACAAACTCACAAACCACACAAATTTGTGTACATTACAGAACTGCTTATTTGGGCATTTACTAAGAATCTCTATTTTGCATGCATACAGGTCTTATGTGCATACATGCCACTTCCTTAATTGTTATTAGCTCCTTGATGGTAAAAGCCACACTAATTGAAGTTGACAATATGATAGGCATTCTTTTAAATGTTTTGCATGTACTAACTCATTTAATCTTTACAACAATCCTAAATAGCTATCATTATCCTCATTTTATATCTAAGGCAGAGAGAGGTGAATGCAGGGAAAGAAAATCTTTGGCACAGATTTAAATATAAGAAGTATATCATAATTGCTGAACAAATGATTTTACTCAAAGAGTTTTGTGATCTTGTTCTAAGTTTCATGAATGACTTACCAACACCTATTTTGAAATCCTCTTTGTAAATATGGTCAAATGAAGCTGCTTCATTTATATTACTCAAGACTAAAGCAGGACACAACAGTAGAGGTCCAACAAATGCTAAAAGTAAATTTGGGAACACATCTTTTGTGGTTTGGGATGCTATTCTGATAATGATGTGAAAGCATTATTTTAGTTAGGGCACTCTTAGTCCTATATGCACTTATTGAAGTAACTTTCAAGAATTTAGGAGCATTTATCATATATATAATTGTGCATACCATCTATGATTTATAAGCATTGCAAGGAAAGAATATCTAACCTATGTTGACCAACAATCACCTACTAACTAGTTGTATCCTCTTTGGAAATTCAGATTTATATCTTTGGAACTTGCTTATCTGTAAGAAGAAAGAACTTGGCTAAAATAAACTGGCTTTGAGAGGATTCTAAGGCAGTCATTCATTTGTAAAATTATACTACTCTAAGGAGACTGTAAGATGAAGGAAACCATATTGATGCAGGAAGGAGTGTTCAAGAAACCAGAAATCAGGTGGGAACAGTAACTCCAGTTATGCACTGGACAATCAACACAAAGACCTATGATGAAATATGTCATTGTGAAGGTTAAGGCCACTCTCAGCTGTCCCATTCTCTCATTTGGCTCTTTTCACAGTGTCTCAACCTTAACTTAAAATGCAATTAAAGTCCTCTTATGCTGAATACATATGTTCAGCATTAAATACTAATTTAACTAAATTAGTTAAATGTTAAAGATCCTCTGTGAAAAACAGTCATATTCTAGAAATATATAAAGCAAATATTTCTTATGAAGAATTAATTTCAGTAGGAGCACAAATATTACTAATAAATAGTTGGGAATCATTTTTATCAAAAAGTCAATAATAGTGCTAAGAATCACCTGTTAGGCATCTACAGGGATAGTGAACTTTGTTAAATATCTTTTAGGTTAATATTCTTTTGGTGTAAGTGTACATTAAATGTTAAAAGTTAAAGAACTCCTTGGAAAGCACTCTTAAGGTAAAAATTCCCCACTCCCTCCTTTCCTACTTATAAGTTGATGCTCTTGAAAAAAAAAAAAGGCAACTCACAAACAGGAAGAAAAAAACTATACATTGAGACCTTTGGCTCCTTGTATATGTGTGATCTCAGTGCACCAGAGGGAACACTAAATTCATTTGAGCTCCTTATACAATACACTTTGTTCGAATCCCAATGTGAAGTGATCCTTAAGTGTACTTTTATCTTCAAATATAAATGTGTTTGTCTGCTTAGAGTTTAGTGTAGACAGAGAAATTTAAAATATCTTCTGGGAAAATTCAAGTCTAAAATACTATGCAGGGCAATCCAAAATCATTAGATAAATATGTATTTTAGATGATTTTAAAAACATGAAAGTCTTACTTAAAGCAAAATATTTATTTAGAAATTACTGTGATGTCCAAATATTTCATTTGCTTTATGTGAAAAATTTATTCTATCCCCCATACACTTAAAAAAATACTAAAAAGGGAATTAAAAAACTTTTTTACAATTACCATTACATAAGTATTTCATAAATATATATATAGGAAAAAGATAAAATTATGCAAAAAATTTATAGCTGCATCATGTAAATGTGTATATACATATACACACACGTGTATATATGTTTGGTGACTTTCACCTTCTTTAGACTGAAATTTTAAATTTAATGTATATCATATATAAAGAAATATAAAAATACAATTAGAACAAAGTTGTTTCTTTAAAGCTACAAAGTTATGAAAAATAGTAGTATTGTTCTCAAAATTAGTATGACTTGTGCCTAATATTAAAAGTTAGTCATAAGTGTGCAATTATAACAGACAACCATATTCGTTTGAGTATTATAAATAAAAACATGTTAAAACATCATCACATATTTTAAGTTATATGGAAATATCACTATTTCTTAGAAGAAGCAAGGGATACTTAAAATATATGAAAGATGGTCTCCATTTACAATTAAACCAACAATAAAGGATCAGGGGAAAGGAGCCTACCTTCCATTGCCCTTTTAAAGAAGACCTTACAGCTCCCACAGGTAAGGACACCATAATGACAGCCTGATGCTTCATCCCCACAGATTAAACAAATCTTCTGAGGTAATGACTCGAAGCTGTACTGTGGGCTCTGGCTGGCTTCTGAATCCGGCCTTGAAATGCAAAACAAAGGACTCCGTTTATTTTTAGGTGCACCACTATCTAATACTAGTTTTCTTAAGTCAGAATTGACAAAGGTAAAGGGGATTTTAAAAATAGCACTGTATATATACACACACTTGAAAGACATGCAAACTAAAAGTTAGTGTACACTACCAGTTACTGGGTTCACCAGGTTTGCAAATCATTAGCCATTCATCAGTAGTACCAACACGAAAAATTATATATAATTTAATGGACGGAAAACTAAGGTCCATTGGTTTAAAAAAAATCTTTCTATGAAACTCTTTATATAGAACCCAGTTAGTCTTTGACAAATGAAATGTTTTGCCCTTCCTACATGTAGGCTGGATAACAATAAAAACATGGTTTCAAGAGTTCAATAGTACTTTGCAATGCTTTTGTTTTGAGTTTTTAAAATTCAACTTTGTAATGACTGTTCACTTTAACGAGTATTTGTCATTTTAAACTGTTGTCCAATATACTGACAGTTTTCCCTAGTCACAGTGCATAAGAGTCCAAGCATTCTTTTTTTTCTTTTTGGTTCCATTATTTTAGTATGCAAGTTAAAATGTTTTCAAAAACCCGTTTAAAGAAGATGTAGCGAATCCGAAGCAGTATTAGAAGAGATGGTTCTGCTTTCGGCTCCGGTGGCTACCCCATCAGGTGCCTCCCTCCCCGGGGAGACGGTGCCCCAGTGTCTCCTCTTCAAGACAGGCATCCCCAGTAGATGCCCCTCTAAGAAGAGAAGCATGTTATAAGCCCCCAACTCGCCGCTCCCTTTCCTCTCCACCCGGCTATGGCGGACCCAGTGTGACGCTGATTTTAAATCGGCTGGTCTTGCCTCGGAACCTCCTGGATGTGAAAAGTTTAAGAAAAATGTTTTCAGGGAGGCATGCTCCGAAAACGGCCTATTCTGCGTGCCCTTTGTGCCGCCCAAAAAAGTGAGGAGAGGTGGGAAGGAAAAGGAAGCGCGGCCGGCGCGCGCCCGCCCCGCCCCACGGCCGCCCGCCCGCCCGCGGCCCCTCACCTCAGGTAGCCCAGGTAGGGCGGGTAGACCTGCGGCAAGCCCTCCTTGAGCACCGCGGCTGGGTAGCCGAGCTGCGGGAGGCCGTTGAGGCCGAGCGGCGGGTAGAGCGCGGGGGCCGCCCCGGCGGCCGAGGCCGAGGTGGAGGGCAGGCCGTCCCGCGGCAGCAGGCAGGCGCCTGCGCCTGGAGCGCGGCAGGGCGGCGGCGCGAACGGGCCCTGCGGGGGCGGCGCGCCCTCTGCTTTGTACAGGATGCACTCCAGGGCCGACCCCGACGAGGATGCGGACGAGACCGAGGCGCCGGCGGGGGCGGCCGCCGCTGCCGCTTCGGGTCTGGACGACGGCGCTCGCGGGGGCGGCGGGAAGTCCGGGAAGACGGCGGGGCCGGCCCCCGACACCAGGTACGGCCGCGAGGAGCGCGCGGCGGCCCGGGCGCCTTCCTCCTCCTCCTTGATCTTCAGGGCGGGCGGCTGGAAGTCGCCGTAGAGCGGGAACGCGTCGTCCCTGAGCTCGGCGTCGGGCGGGTATGCGCAGTCGGCGAAGTCGCCCGCGGCGAGCGGGGCGGACGAGGCGGGGGGCGAGCCCCGTGGCGGGGCGAAGGCGCTGACCGCCGCGGCCCCGGAGTCGTAGCTCTCCGCCTCCAAGAGCTGCCGGGTGCGGGCGGCCAGGAAGGCCGAGTTGAACGGCAGGATGGGCACGTGGATGAAGTCCATCACCGCGGTGGCGAGCTGGGAGCACCCGGGCGCCGCGGGCGCGTCCTGCTCCGCCGGGGAGACCCGCGGCCCGGATAAGCGGGCATCTTCCCGGGCGACCAGAGCGACGCCGCCTGCGCCTGCCCCCAGGGCAGCTGTCGCGGCTCCGCCCCCGGCTGCCGTGCCTCCCGGAGGCCGAGGTCTGCCCTTCTGAAGCGGCCCCACCGAGCCCTCAGACTCGGAGTCCTCCTCCTCCTCCTCCTCCTCCTCCACCACAGCGGGCTGCGGAGACGGCTTTCCTGCCGCCCCGGGCCAGGAATGGCCCCCGGGGGGCGGGGGCAGCAGCTGCCGGGACGGCGACAGGCCCCTGGGCAGCACTTTCTGGGCGGCCGCGGACCCAGAGCTGTCGCCAGGTTTGCCCTCTGGCCGGCTCATGAGCGGGGACAACACCCCCTGGATGGAGGGGGCAGCCCGGGGGTCTTTGGGAGGCTCGGGGCCAAACCGGCACCAAAGGCTGGTGGTCTCGCGGACGGGAGTGCTGGCGCGGCTCTGCCTGGGTCCCGAGGAAGCCAGCAGCGTGTCTAGGACACTGTCCAGCAGCCCGCTCTCCCTCGCCGGGGCTCCAGAGCTGCCGCCTCCGGCACCGCCCGCGGCTTTGACTCTGGGATACGCCCCCTGCACGTCTGACAGAGGGAGCTGGTCCCGCGAGTTCCCGTCGGGGTCCTGCCCCTGGCAGGGCCGAGGGAAGAGCAGCCCGTCCAGGGAGATGGGAATAGCCGAGGCTACCGTCGAGGCGTCCGAGGCCTGGTTCACCTGGAAGGAGCCAGCGTCCCGGCGCCCCAGCAGAGGGGATCCGACCTGGGTCGGGGAGGGCGCGCCTTCCGCCACGTGGGGAGCCCGGGGATCCTCGGCGTTCAGCTCTGTCATAACGACCTGGGCTACCCTTTTCTCCTCCCCCGACTCTGGGGAGGAGGGATGGGGAAGAGGAGGGGGAGTGGGAATGTACAAGCAGCGGGAGGAGGCAATAGGTGTTCAATTTGGCTGGACAGGGTGGGGCGGGGTGGTGATCTCCACCCCCTGGGTGTGGAGGGGGAGGCGCCGGTCAGCTCCTGTCTCTGCGCTCCATCTGGCCGGCAGGGGAAAGGGGGCAGATGTCTCGTCCTAAGGCAGGTGGGAAGGCGGGAGAAGCAGTTGTCGGGATCTCGTCCCCTAACTGGGAGAGTTCTCCGAGAGCTCTCCGACTTCGGTCTGAGGGCAGGAGACGCAGAATACTCACAGGTCGCGCACTGCAGGGGTTGCGGATCGAAAGCAATTACACGCGGCTCTGTCTCCCGTGCCTGTGGCTTCAGGTGCCCAGGTCTCCCAGTCCTTGCCCGCGCTCCACTTTCCTTCTCAATAAAACCCCGGGGGCTACTTGGACCTCTTAGTGCAACCCATTCTCATGAACAGTCGTGTTTCTGCCGGCGTCCTATCGCTGGTGACAGCTGTCCCTGCGGCTCTCCCATTCTCGGAGTCTGGAAGGACAGAACGCCTGTGGATGCAGATTGATGCCACTCAAACGCCAAGTGAAACTAGTTCTCCCTGAGAATGCTGCTCCAACACCGGATCCTCTCACACTCAAATACTACAAGGCTTGAGTACTGTAGTGACAGCAGTAGACTGGCCCCACAGCTTTCTAACAACGCCTCCTCCCTCTCTCGAGGCCCCGCCCAAGGCCCCTCCCTAACGCAATTACAGACCTGATCTGAAATTCTGGAGTTGGTATTCCCAGCCGCCGGTCTGAATTCCACTCAAGCAGGTGGGGTGGGGTGGAACCTCATCAACAGAGTTTGTACTACCAAGTAAGAATTATGCCCAATCTATGCGGAAACACTATCAGAAGCTGAATTTTTAGGATTTCAGTTTTGTAAAGATTTATCATAGAGGAAGATATTTGGCTATATTATCTTTAAGAATGTGTGTCGAGGATGTGCTTTAAAAATATGAAAGAGTCTCTCTTATGACTTCCATAAAAGTGATCACTTTCAAATTTCTCTTAGAACAACCAACCTGTCGTGACCTCTTGAACCGTCCGTAATGTGGTAAAGAAGTTTGGGAGTGTACATCGATAACACCTCTCTACCTGTGTGGGAAGTTTGGATATTGTCTGCCTTCCACTGATTTGTTCTATGAATGTCCTCAAGGTTTTATCTGTTCTGATGCCCCACAGGTTCTCTCAGCCAGGTTTAGAGAATATAGAACATTCCGACTTCAGGATGGGCAGAGCCACTAGAATACCCGGGAACCTGACTCACTTGGGGAGGGTCTCCATGAGAAATAAACCTGTATCATATCGGGCCAAAATATATGTCAGTTGTTGTACTTTTAGGCTATCATAAATACTGCTGCTGTGAACATTCATGTACAAGTTTGTATGTGAGCATACATTTTCATTTCTCTTGGAAAATATACATAGGAGTAGAATTGTTGGGTTATATGGTAACTGGTTTTAGCTTTTTGAGGAACTGCCAGAGTGTTTTCCAAAGTGACTGTACATTTTATATTATCACCAGCCGCACATGAGAGTTCCACTTCCTCCACATGCTTGGAAATATTTGCTCTTACATCTTTTTTATTATAGTGCTCATGTTGCTTGTGAAGTGGTATCTCACTTATATTCCCTGATGGTTAATGCCATAGACTCTAAAATTTGTAGACTCTGGATAGCACTCCCAGGTCGTCTTCTAATACTTTTACGTGTGTTAACTTATTTAATTTTTCAACATATACATGAAATAGGCACTATTATTTCCATTTCATAGTTGAGAAAACTGGGGCACAGAGTTTCCCAGTATTATAAAGATAGTAAGTGCATGGCCAAACAACCCAAGCAATCAAATGCCAGCCTTTTTAGCAATATGATTTTTAAGTAGCCAGTGGTGCAGAATTTGGTTTCCAGGTGGCTGTAGCCACAGAATTGACCCTAGGGCTCATTTAAAATGACAAGCTATATATGGCTCAATTTTAAATTAAATTAAATTCGCTATAAAAATGCCCTCAAGAAAGACAGGTTGAAACAGGGTTTTTTCCATGAGATTGAAAATCATGAAGTGGGAAAACAACAATAAAGATGCACAACCTGTTCTAAGTCACGATTATGCTGTGAAATTTGATGATTAGCCCTGTTTGCACTGGAATTCCCAAGTACATGAATCTTGGAGGCACACAAAACTCACTGGTTAAATTCAGGTGTGACAAAGCTAACTCCAAATATTCCTGAAGACTGTTTTTGGAGAAAAGAATTCAAATTCGGAAGGTTTTTGTTTGTTTATACTTTGAAAAAAATCTTTATTAAAGTATATTTGTACAATAAGCTGCATGTATTTAAAATGTACTTTTTGTTAGTTTTGAAATGCATATACTGTGAAACCGTCTCCACAAACAAGATGATTATGTCCTTTTCTATCAGAAGTTTCCCCATGCAACTTTTTAATCCCTTCCTACTGCTCTTTTCCCATTTCCAGTCTGTCCCTGCCCCTCTCCATCTATCCCTAGGCAACCACGAATCTGTTCTCTGTCTCTGTATGTAAGTTAAAAAAAAAATCATATCTGATTTATTAAACATATTAAATTATACACATTTTTAGGACTAAGTGTCTAATTTTTTAATAGACTACTTTATAGGATGGTTTTAGATTTATAGTGAAATTAAGCAGATAGTACAGAGAATTTCCTATATCCTCTGCATAGTTTCCCCATTAACATATTAACATGGCATACTTGTTACAATTAATGAACTAATATTGATACATTATTACTAATATGCATAGTTTATTCACATGTCCTTAGTTTTGACATAGTTTCCTTTTCCTTTTCCCTCCCGTGGACACCACACTACATTGTCATTGTCATGTCTCCTTAGGTGCCTCTTGACTATGATGGTTTCCTTATTTTCCTTGTTTTTTGGTAGCCTTCACAGTGAGGCATATTGCAGGATGTCCCTCTATTGGAATTACATGATTTTAATTTCTAATCATTTCCTTCTGAATAGAATGGGGTTATGGGTTTAGGGAAGGAAAATCAAGGCAGAAAAGTACCACTCATCATATTGTACCATCATGGCATATTGGTACATACTGTCAACATGACTTAACCACTGTTGATGGTGACCTCTATCACTTCTCCACTGCCCAGTTACTCTTTTTCCCCTCTTTCCAAACTGCACTCTTTGGAAGTTACTATGAGCAGCCCCCCAAGAAAGGGAGCGTGGGGGAGTAGGGAGTTACGCTCTCTCTTTTAGGGTAGAGTAGCTACATAATTTATTTGAAATTCTTCTGCATGGGAGATTTACCTCTTCTCCCCCATTTACTAATTTCTTCAGTCTTTTACTTATGTCACTATAGACTTACGGATATTTATTTTTACTCTAGGTTATAATCCAATACTACTCTATTTTGTTACTCAAGTGGTTCCTGCTTTGGGCATTGGGATCCTGTGTAGGAATGTATGTTTGAGCATTTTCTTACTTTCTGGCTTCACAAGATGCTACAGACTCATCTGGTCTATTCCTTGCCCTAGTTATAGAATCAGTTATTTATTGGAAAATGATGTTATAAATGAAGATCTGGGTGCTAACTGTGTTTTACATTCATTTATATTTCTTAAAAGTTCATATAATACAGCATATGATTTTTCTCATCTAGCTTCTTTGACTCAGAGAATAATTGTTTTAAGGATTCTTCTTTATTTTAGTGTATATCATTAGTTCATTATTTTTATTGCTGAGTAATAATCTGCTGTATGGATACACAATAGTTTATTCACCCATTAAACATTTGGATTGTTGTCAGTTTTTCGATATTACAAATAAAGCTACTATGAAAAGGTATGTACACGTCTTTGTGTGGTCATGTGTTTTACTTTCTTCTGGGTAAATGCCTAGAGATGAAATGGCTGGGAGAATTAGTATGTGTACATTTAGCTACTGAAAAATTTTCCAAAGTGGTTGTATCATTTTACATTCCCACCAGCAGTATATTACAGTTGTAATTCTTCCATGTCCTGAACAACAGTTGATACGGTCAGTATGTTAATTTCATTAATTCTAGTAGGCACATAGTGGTGTCATTGTGGTTTTAGTTGCATTGCTGTCGTGACTAAGGATGTCGATCATGTTTTCATGTACTTGTTTGCCATCTGTGCATTTCTTTGGTGTTGTCTGTTCAAATATTCTGCTTGCTTTTAAAAAAACTTTATTTCCTTATTGAATTTTGAGAGTTCTTTATGAATTCTGATGCAAGTCCATTGTCACATATGTAATTTGAAAATATTTTAACCTAGTCTATGCCTTATCTTTAAGTTTTCTTAATGGTGTCCTTGGAGAGCAGATGTTTTTAATATTTATAAAGTGATTTAACAATTTACACTTTAATGAATATTTCTTTCAGTGTCATAATTCAAAGTCTGCCAAACCCGAGGTCACAAAAGTTTACTACTTCTGTTTTTTCCTTCTGGCTTTATAGGTTTAGTTTTTTTTTCATTTGTATCAAGTCATTTTACATTATGTTTTAATATGGTATGCACTATAGATCAAAGTTCCTTTTTTTTTTTTTTGGCATATGGCTATGCAGTTGTTCCAGCACCATTTGATAAAAACAGCACCTCTCCTTTCTCCACTTACTCGCCTTTTCATCTTTGTTGAAATCAGTTATTCATATATTTGGGGGTCTGTTTCTAGACTCTTAATTTTGTTTCATTGTTCTATTTGACAACCTTTATCTCAATTCCACATGATCTTAATTGTTGTAGCTGAATAGTAGGTCTTGGATCCTTGATGTGTTCTTCAGATTTATTCTTTCTCCAAATTTTTTTTTATTATTTTAGGCCATTTGCATATCATATCAATTTTAGAATCAGTTTATCAATTTCTACAAACAAACCTACTGCAA